AATTTTGTCTGATGAAATTTGAGAAATTTGAGTTTGCATTCACGAGTTTCCATGGAAATGACGAGCTGAGCAGCAGGCCGAGTCGAGCCAGGTAAATTTCGGCCAATCACAAATTTGCGCGGGAAAGTTCGACCAATGGAATCGATCGCCTGTTGCTTTGTACAACCCGACCCAAAAAATATTCGGCGCTGGCGTCGATACTCCATGCTCGCAGTGTGGTCGCGTTTAAATAATACTAGCCCGTCCCCATGTAAACGATTCAACACAGACGGCGATTTGAACGCGACCACTGTGCGTTAGTGGCGGTTTTCATTGTTGGCTCGGTCTGTACTTCCGCCCTCTAACAATTTCGTCTCAAAAGGGGCGGGGCTTGTGAGCACGCTACCAACGTCCAACTAAAAATAAACTCCATGTTTTCCTCTTTTTAATAATTATAAATTTGAATATGAAACAATAAATACTTTCAAACGCGTAATTGTGTTGTATATTTTTAAATGATTATTGATTGATAAATTTAAAGCAATGTTGCTAATTATTTTCTAACAATTTAAACTGCTTCTTCTGAATGTTATGGCGGCGCTCATACAAGCAAGCTAGCCTGCCGACCGCTAGCTATATTGGCTTTTAAAAACAATTTGTTACACCCAAACTGTTTCGAATTTTCAGTGTGAAGTTTTCTTTTTACGACTGAAAGTTTTGAATTATGAGTGTGAAGTGAAAGCAATTGCTTTAAAAGTGAAAATTATTAGTGATTCTTTTAAATAATCTGATCACTAGATTCCCAAGATATTTTGGTCGTCTGTGTACAGCTCATGCAGCTGCATGCTGCAAAGCTTCATATTGTAAATCCTAATGTGTGGAACTGTGCATCTTTTGACGGTTGTTGAATTTAAACATTAAAACCTAGGGGGGCCGTTAACGCGTTAGCGTTAGAATTTTTTTTCTTCTGCCATTTTTCATTAAGGTACAGCCACTTCTGTAATACAGATTTTGATAAAATTTTAACAAAAAATCAATCCAAAAGTAAGATTTTATTTGACTATAGCCTCATTAAAATCTGTCTGGCCAATTTTGAGAAAATTATAGTTAAACCTCAAAACTATCACGAAAATTGGCAAAATGCTGCCAAGCCAACAATGGTTCGCACTTCTATCATTCTTTCTGTCGATCCCTGCGGCTTACCTTTTCACTTAACAGTAAAACGTATGAGACAAAAATTCAAGACCGAAAATTAAGCTTCCGAAGGATGTGTTCAAAAGTTCCCTACGACATTCCAGTCGAGAGCGACACCAAGCTGAATGATGTGCGACATTCCCGTTTATTCTTCGCGTCTTATTTTTAATTTCTAGTGCAGTTGGTGTTAATTTAAACAGGGTAATGTAAGCGAGCCGATTGTGCACCGTTCCTTAAGCTACCGAAAAAGCTTTTTACCGACGCAGTAGGATATTCCAATCACAACTTCTAGCGATTTAAAATCAAAGCTGCACAGTTTGTTTAGAAATGGGCGTGGCCACGAAAATCCTGGGTAAAGGAGGCGTGGCTTCTAACAATGGTACCAACCTTTG